TTAATTAAAAATCGCTGCCAATGATTTTTTTAAAAAAAATTGAATCAACTTTTCTTTTTAAATAAAGTAAAAAAAATTAAAAAATAAATTGATGGAAGTCGCTGCAGAAGAAGCGACTTATACAATTTTTTTTTTTATTTTGAAAATCGCTCCGTGTAGAGCGATTTGTTTGATTTTAATTTTTTTTTTTTAAAAAAACAAATTTAAGAAATCGCTGTAATTGCAGCGATTTCACTTTTTCAGAAGGCAAAAGTCGCTACATCGTGAACGATTTTACCGTTTTGATTTTTTTTAAAAAATTGATATGCCCTTTTAGAACTTTTGACAATTTCTTTTACCCTTTTAACTTCGCACTCATAATAATTATCTACACGTTAAAATCATTATATTATAAAGTCATTAACATATATAATCACTAATGTAAACGTCAAATCCTTTTTGGAATTAGTCACTTGGTAAATTATATCTTATTGGAACAAAAAATAATCAATCAACAACTTCTAATAATCAATCAACAACTTCATTTCATAATGAGATAAATCATTATCGTTATATATCGTGCTAAAGAATTGTCTCTATTCCATTGAGCCTATTTAGATCCGAACGACCGTATATTGTTTTTTAATACATTCAATTGTCTAATCAATATTTTGACAAACACACTCTTAAAATTATATGATCTTTGCATTGATATGTTGACTTACTACTCTTCCCACAAGAGAAAACTACGATATATCACGTGACTACAATATATTTTATGACTTTTCAAGAAGTTCAATTCAAATTTCAAATATTATTTTGTGATTTGTACAAAGTTATTTGGGCAAAAGAAAGAAATTACAAACTTAAAAATTCCATTTATATCTTATAAGTTTATAATTATAGAAATCTCTCAAACTAATACAATAATATAAGTGTTGATTCATTAATCTGATGCACAAGATATATTGATCGTTAAATAAGATACATACATGATATACTAATCTGATGCGTGATATACATTAATCCGATGTATGCGCTGATACATTAATATAATGCGTGAAATGAGGGATTTTGGAGATTTGTAAAAACTAATAGGGGATAATGGTAATAAGAGAACTTAAAGATGAGATTTCTATCTTTTTCACCAAGATATTTTAATAATATAACCTTTTCCATATGAAAAAGGGTAAACCATATAATAAGAAAATACTTTGTTTTACAATATCTATTTTTTTAAATAAAATATAAATAAAAAGTCCGTTGTAGTCTAGTTGGTTAGGATATTCGGCTCTCACCCGAGAGACCCGGGTTCAAGTCCCGGCAACGGAATTATATATATATTTTTTTTTTCTAAAAAAATTAATTTCCTTTTTTTCTGTACCCACCCAAAAAATACAGCCCAAATCCCTCTATTCAAAGGCCCAAATTCTTACATTCCCTCAAAAAGAATCCCTGTATTCTAAGTTTGTACTTGAAGCTGAAACATTGATTGGATCGCTTTTATTACTTCTTTTCTCTTCTTTGAGAGAAACGAAACGGTGGGCGGTGGGCATATAAGTTTGGTGGGGTTTTCTTGGTTTGTGCTTCCACATTTTTGAACTCATAAATTAAGGTATCTATGATTTCTGTAAAGGAGTTCAAGCTTTCAAGTTTGGTTTCGTTTCAATCCTTTTGACATTTTTGCTGCTATTTAAAGTTAGGCGATTTACTCTCTGTGTTTCGTCTTGATTCGTTGTTTCGATTATCTTAGGTTATAAAGAAATTCAATTATATGAGGAACTATTGAACTCGAGTTTGAGTCTAAAAAACATATACTTGCTGCTGGATTCGGTTTTGTTAGAAGAGCATTGCATGATTGAAGTAAGTGAAAATATATTTGCTAAACTATTTGCAGAATGTGTCTGGTTTAGAAAACGTGATTGTAAAGTACTCACTGTTTCATTAGGTCTCAGGTTCAAATATCAGCAGAGACGAAAACATAAAGGTGATTCCTTTGCGTATGTACTAGTCTTGGTAGATAGTGTTACCTGATATTTTTATTGGTGGGAGGTGGCAGGTATCCGTGAAATTAGTCGAGAAGCTTACAGGTTCAAGTTTAACCTGAGACTATAGGTGATTTTTTCGTACGTGTCCTAGTCTTGGTGGACAAAGTTATCATGAACTTGTTTTTTGGTGGGAGGTGGTAGTGCAATTAGTCAAGGTGTGAGAGACACCATGTTTATCAAAAAAAGAAGTGCTGATTGTTTCATTGGTACATGAAAAAGATTGGGTGCTTTAGCATTTTTGATAGTACTTCATATTTCATGTATAAAACCTCTGCTTATTCATTCCAAAGTCAATATGAAAGAATATTGTTAAGTTTGGACTAACCAGCTACTTTCACCCTTTTGCTGTGTGTGAGAGAAGCTTGAGGTAGGCAGAAGTGGAAAGGAAGGGCCGGTAAGGATGCAAGGTAGGAGCTGTAGTGATGAGCTAATACTGAATTCGTGTTGCTGTGGAAACTTAACAAAGTAAAGGTTATACATTTAAGTATTAGTCACCATAGAATTACACCCTTGAGGAATAGTCGCATATAATTGGTTTCTGTATGTGAAGGACACTTTTGATTACTCTGCTTATTGTCTCTGAATATTAAATGACATGTCTTACCAATTAGAAGAAAATGACATATCATAGTTGAAGTTTAGGATTTGATTTAGAAGATGTTTAACGTTTTAGTGCTGATGTTTGAGTAAATGCAAATCTAGTGGTTACTCTGTCACTCCTGATAATATTATGTTGGCTATGTCTGCTGCATCTTCAATGGTTCTGCCTTTGGATTCTATCAAGTACACCGAGACCTTTCATAATGAGTGGTTCTTTCATTTGAATGAAGTTTGCTTCTCTCTTTCTGTATGGTCAAATAGGGAGTATATTATTGAATCCTCATTCCCTTGATGCTTCTGTATGTTTAATTGTTGTCTTGCTCTTAGTAGTGACACTCACACCAAGCCTTTTAACTGATTTCATCAATTATAGGCAGTTCTAGTCTGCTACAACAGCTGAAGATATTCATCTGTCTCTGTGTTGCTTGGTATTATAATTGTTTAGGTTTGATCCTGAATATTTCCCCAGTGATGAATTGTTGATGCTAGTAATCCACTTTTTGCCATCTTTTTGTGGTTGAAACCTCAGTTTCATGACATTTGAAACCGTTGTATTGTGGTCTTATTTTAATTACTTGTGCTTGGAGTCATAAAATGTTTGTTGATGATTCCTGAAGGCTTTACCTATGTACTTTCTGTTGCAGGGTGGTTGCTAAGGAATATGACTGAACTTCTCTCCATGGCCATGGCCATGGCTGTTGATGATGACATGAAAGATGACAGTGATTCTCCGCTTGACCTCATTTCTATAGATAGCAACAAGAGTGGAGATGTGCTTTCACCTGAGGATGTAGCATGGGCTGACTCATGCCTCATTAATGATCTTGCTATATTGGACCACGGCATGGATTCTTTGAAGCATGTCTTACTGGACACTTTTCCTTCCCAAGCAATCTTTTCTGCAGTGGTAAGGGATGACTCTCCTCAAGACTCTCGTATTGTCCCCTCTATTGAAGAGACAGAAATTTCAGGAATTTTAGATGACTCGATTTATGATTTTTCTCCAATTAATGAACAAGAAGGGGACACTACTCGTCATCTGATTAATAACAAAGATCCAGATATTTTTTGGTCCAGAATTAACTTAGAAAATGTTTTTTCTTCCACCTATAACGAGAACATGAGAGTAGTTGAACCCTCCGATTCTGAAGTAGATTCAGAGTTTTCAACATTTGTTGAAGAAAATTTGGATGACGATATATTCAAGGTCTGGGAACTTGACATTCCCGATGAGGAAGATGGACTTGTTAAACAACTCAACAAAGCCCTTGTTGGAAGCTCCGTGGACTCCATCCCTCCAGCTTCTGAAAATGTTGAGGTACTGGTCAACAAGTTGGTTGATGATATCGTTTCTGGCCTCGATGACATGTCATTGAATCCAACAACTGATTAAGTTATGTTGCAAATCCAAATTCTGATCTGGAGCATGCTGCTTTAGATGCAAAGCTCGAGGTAGTTTAAAGAAAACTTCAACGAACCCGTTTTGCAGCTTACTGTTTCTGACTTGATTTCTCGTAGAAAGAGGTTGGCATGTCTGTGCATGGTCCAAGAAGGAAAGACGATCATATACGCTCAGGCATAAATTTGCAGATGTTGCTCAATGTTTAAGTTATTTAGCTTGATTATTAAGTACAACTAGTATAAGAAAACAGGTTTTTGTCCTTCAATTTTCCTTGTATATTGGTATATAGATTACTTAGTTAATGCTTTCCTTCCTTTTGAACTGGAGTCTGTTAGCTGATACAATAAATGGGATTTTAGATTCGGTGCATGAAATTCTTCTGAGTTTTTCTTTCAGCCTTGAGACGGTTAAGTAGTGAGGAATTTTCCGCAAGGGTGAAAGCTCGTCTCCACAAAGTAGTTAGATATATTTTTCATTTACAAATTTTGGAGGTATCCTGGATTATATGAGGTGCGCGCAATTTGGTTTGGACACTATTATTATTAAAAAAGAATTGTTAGAAATATTTGAAAGTCACTGTCAAACCCAATCCTGGAACTGAACCATGACCACTGATCACCTAGGGATAACCAAAACAAAAAGGAAATGTTACCAAGCCACTCAAGGTAGGATTGCTAATCAGAGCCTCACGTTTGTCTACCATTACAATAATTCCATCTAAATCAACAACTTGTACAATGTGCCAAGTAGACAAAATAATCAAAATTACATGTCAAAAAGTCATTGGTTGGCTCATAACCACCTCAAATGATACATCTTCAATTACACTTTAGCGCAGTTATAAATTTTAGCACTCTGCTTGAGAAATTTGTGTGGCAAAGAGTGACACTGAGAATAGATTGTGCTGAGAGATAAGGAGATTTCTTGTAGAGAGGAAAAAATTTGAAGTAAAGAAAAAGAAAATGGCCTCAGCATCTCTACTAAAGTCATCCCCAGTTCTTGACAAATCTGAGTTTTTAAAGGGGCAAAGCCTTCGTCAGCCTTCTGTCTCAGTGGTCCGTTGTCATCCCACCAATGCTACTTCTCTTACTGTCCGCGCAGCTTCCTCTTATGCTGATGAGCTCATTAAAACCGCTGTAAGTTTTAGTTTAACGAGTTCATGTTTTGTGTACTGTAAGATTAAATTTTATGCATCAATCAGTCATCTGTCACGCAAATGTGCATCACTATGAATTTTATGATAGTACACAAAAAAATTTACACTGTTACTGTGTATAACTTAAAACTCTTAGCTATGAATTAGTGTACCGAACAAATTTTTGTTGCTAACAATAAAGTGTTTGTTATTTGTAGAAAACTGTTGCATCACCAGGCCGTGGAATTTTAGCCATGGATGAGTCGAATGCCACTTGTGGAAAGCGTTTGGCTTCCATTGGTTTGGAAAACACTGAGGCTAACCGCCAAGCGTACCGTACCTTGCTGGTGTCAGCTCCAGGCCTTGGACAGTACATCTCTGGTGCTATTCTTTTTGAGGAGACCCTCTACCAGTCTACCGTGGATGGACGCAAAATAGTTGATGTTCTTATTGAGCAAAACATTGTTCCTGGTATCAAAGTTGACAAGGTATATTAACCTGCACCCACAACTTGAAAAAGGACAATAGTAAAGAGTTATTGTTGCTGGTGAAAAAATATAGCGAACTTTTATTTTGTATAATATTGGTCTGAGCAGAAACTTAAATGGAATGACATGATCAGTAAGGATTTGTATAACCGACCCCAACTTGCTTGGTCATATATGTGGTTATACTAACGATAGAAGAGGAAAGGCAGGATTGTAACTGTTTAACAAGAACAAGTTATACTGAAATGAGATTTCTGTCAATCTCCTAATCATTATATCTGTTCACAGGGTTTGGTTCCCCTTGCTGGTTCAAATGATGAGTCATGGTGTCAAGGTCTTGATGGACTTGCCTCGCGCTCTGCTGCATACTACCAACAGGGAGCACGTTTCGCCAAATGGTACATTTGGAGTCCTAATTCACTTTGTTATTTTCTCATAATGCACAGCGGAAGAAGAAAAAATTTATATGGACTATACCAAATAGTTGTTTTAAAAGGTCTTTTTCATCATGTTAGAAGTTTATATGCTAATCTATCCTCCTTTTGCACAATATTGGTAATGAGATGAATTAAAATAGAGCGACAAGTCAGTGAAGATTCATATACCCGACCCATGTTAAGATTAATGCTAAAATTATGGTAACTTATAGGCGTACCGTGGTGAGCATTCCCAACGGACCATCTGCATTGGCTGTCAAGGAAGCAGCATGGGGCTTGGCTCGCTACGCTGCCATTTCTCAGGACAATGGTTTGGTCCCAATTGTGGAGCCAGAGATCTTGTTGGACGGTGAACACGGCATTGACAGGACTTTTGAGGTAGCACAGAAGGTCTGGGCTGAAGTCTTCTTCTACTTGGCTGAGAACAATGTCATGTTTGAGGGTATCCTCTTGAAACCAAGCATGGTTACTCCTGGTGCTGAATGCAAAGACAGGGCCACTCCTCAGCAGGTCGCAGACTATACTCTCAGTCTCCTCAAGAGGAGGATTCCCCCAGCTGTCCCTGGAATCATGGCAAGTTTCTCTCCGTTTCATTTTAAATGACCGTCTGATTAAGCACAAAGTTTAAGAAAGAAAATTTTTGCCACATATCAGAAGCACCTTTAAAACTTAGGTCTTGAACATTCTAACAGGCTATAAGAGCATGACATTAAGGGTAAAATAAGAAGTTTATAGTAACTTTACTTTCCCAACATATAGAATATGAATTGTTAGTCCATTGCTAGGGGTAGATGAATAAGTGAAAGTACATACCTTATGCTAATTGATTCAATATTGTTGGGTTGTGAGCAGTTCTTGTCTGGTGGGCAATCAGAAGTTGAGGCTACATTGAATTTGAATGCCATGAACCAAGCTCCAAACCCGTGGCACGTGTCGTTCTCTTACGCAAGGGCTCTTCAGAACACTTGCTTGAAGACATGGGGAGGACAACCTGAGAATGTGAAGGCTGCTCAGGATACTTTACTTGTCAGGGCCAAAGCGAACTCTCTTGCTCAGCTCGGAAAGTACACCGGTGAGGGTGAATCCGATGAAGCTAAACAAGGAATGTTTGTAAAGGGCTATGTCTACTAAGTTATTAGGCACTGAAGTCTTGAAGAATAGGGGCAAAAAAAACAAAGATTATGAGCTGAATGGTTCATAGTGAAGCAGAGAAATGATGAATTATCTCATACTACTAAGTTATGCAATTAGTAAAGCCATAGAGAAGAGTATTTTTGTTCATTTGATTACCTGCACTTTTTTTTTTAACAACTTTAATAAACTTTCTTGCTGATTGAGACTAGTTAGTGTTGCTTTATGAAATTATAAACCAGCTCTTTGTTTTATTATGCATACTGAATAATGAAAATTACTTATTGTGAGCATATGGTTTTCAGACATTTTAAAAGCAATACTTGTTACCAATAGATGATAGATTCTATTCTTTTATCCAAGGAGGCTAAATATATCTTGATCCCCTGCACCGAAAGACATTTTTACCATACAACAACAACTACTACGATTTCATCCCAGGCTAGCTCGGATCGACTATATGAATACTCACCGTCTATATCACTCTGTTTAAGGACTTCAGTACTTTTTATGTACATTTTGAAAAATTAGCAAGTTAGGAAGTAAGATCCCTTCTACAAAACTACATCGATATATGCAGTAGTTGTGGTCTTCATTCTTGAAGACCTGTAATCTTTGATACAACCTCACTAGAACCACACCCTATAAGCTAGCTAATTGAGGTTGGGTGGGAGAGCCCGATGCAATATACGCCCCACATCGGCTCCCCATTTAACCAATGTGGGACTCAAGGGCATTCCTTGCAATAATATCATAACAGCGGCACCCCAGGGGGTGTAATGCAGACAACCTGCCCTACTGTAAGTAGTAGTGGTTGCTTTTATGGCTCGAGCCCGTGACAACCACACAAAGACAACTTTACCTTAGCTCCAAGATCAATCTATAAAGATTAGAAGGAAATACTGTAGAGCTTCTTACTGTTGAGGCAGTGTTCCAGGAAATCTGAACCGGGTTGCATGTCGATATCCCGATCCCACTGGCGTGATACTTTGTGCTTATTAATGGAAAAAGCGCTCCTTAACAAAGAATGTTTCCATACCAAGGACTCAAACTCGAAACCTGGTTACAGAATCCACAAGATCACCTAGAGTTAATCTCATAGATGATATCATCCAAGAGAAGAAAATGTTGAATCCAGTCCTGGAAATGCCAGTCATAAGATTCCAGAGCAGTCTTCTGCTTGGTTAAACCGAATCGGACTCAACATGTTTGGTACTGGGGTTTTACTCCCCAGTAGTTTGTGTCAACCTTGAATGATTATAAAGTTTAACAGAATTCAAACCAGATGAATTACAATAGTAATGGTGGAAATTTGATGAATAAAAACAACAATAAATGAATGTCACTGCTATACAGTTCATCTTGAATCTGTAGAGATTGTTTTTTCTCATTACTCATTACAGAAAATTACAGAGGCAAATGTGGTGACTGCAGCCTTATCCTCTCTCCAAAGCGAGATGGCAGAATTTCTTTCTGATCCTCTTCTCAAAGTATATGCATGAAGTGGTTGAATAATGAACTTCAGAGAGCTCTTCACTCAAGAAATACCTCAACTTGGTCCCGGCTAGTTCAAAAGCTTCTCTTAAAGCTTTGACATTGCATAGAACTCAGCTGGGGCCGGCAACTCCAATTCATAATTCAAGTTTGAAATTTGGAATGGCAGCAGCTCACATCTACACTTCAAAAAAGGGAAACGATAAGCATGCGAGAGAGATAGAAAGTTATGCTTACAAGCCTTATAAACTGAGCAGTATTTATCAAGTACAATTCCACGAGTTCAAACTTAGACATCTTCAAAGTTTTGCTTTGTTATATTTTACATACATAGTCAAAGAACATGTATTGCATACAATGAACATGAGTGCTGCAAAATTGACCATGAACATCGTAGAACTGAACAGTTCAAGCTAGATATTTTACTGATATGTTACACTTTAAAGTACATATTCGGTACCCAGCTCAAGATGAAAATCTAGCACCCAATTCACTATCTTACTGCTTTTACAACTCTATTAGGGTTCTTTAGTAGGGTGTATAAGAATAGAGCTGGATAGGGTAGGTGTATACTAGTTATGCTGAGCTTATTTCTTATGCACTGTTTGATTTGTTGTATTAAGTGTCTTCACTATTCCTGCATACCTAGAAAGCATTTCTCTCTTACAAAACATCCTATCAGCCTTGCAATGTTTTTCTTGAAGCGAGGGTCTATCCAAAACAACGCCTATACCTCACAAGATCAGGTTTAAGGTCGGTGTACACTCTACCATCCACAGACCACACTTGTGGGATCACATTGGGTATCTTATTGTTGTACTAAATATCCTATCATTATCAGTTGTCTTAAAAGAGAGAACTCATTCTACTAAGTGCCTTCGTGCATTCTGCATAACTCAATTCTTTATAAGTACCCCATCAAAAAACAAAATGATAAATGATCCTCTTTGATGCATGAACAACATTTTTACGTCTGTTACCTTCCTTTATTGGTTTATAGAACCAAAATAAATTTGTTTTCAGTCTAATTCAAAACTGCCGAAGTACAATTCATGTATGTAGTTTATTTCCACTACCACTAAATCCATAAAATTGAAATAGTTGGGAAGGCAATCCTTCTTCTCCCATTCCTGCTCTATATCCCCTTCCAGCTTCTCCAGAAATGAGATATTTTGATCTCACCGATTCTTCAATTTCTTCCTTGCTGAAAATGGTTTATTCCTCTTCTTTTTGTTAAACTTGTTATCCTCATCATGTAACTGCTTAGCAGCAGCGAGGCACTCAAGAGAAATTGCAGTGACAACACATCTCAGCCGAAAAGGTTCAAATGCCTCTCAAGTACCTTTTTTTAACCCAGCCACCTTGAAGCGCACCTAAACGTCCTTAAATACTTCTTCAGAATCTGCAATTAAGTACAGCACAGATCCTTTTGCAGAAAGTGACAATCATTCTTTCATTGCTTATATACACTCTTAATGGAAAAAGGTGTCACAACCCATAAAATGTCTGACTGAATAGAATATTGCATATGTACATGCACATTGTAATTTGTAATGGCAAAAAATTAATAGTACTATTCAAGATACTCCAAGACTTTGACAAAGTTGATAGAAGGGCATTACAAACTCAAATTCACTCAGTAGAGTACATACCTTGATCACTTCTCTGGTTCTCTTTTGAAGGGCCCATCAGGAACCACGCCGACAGACTCATGATTGCTACCACCAAGCATGTCCATTACTTGTTCCTGCATTAAATTTTATAATTACTGGAGACCAATAGCTGAACAAAGTGACTGAGATAGTACTACCAATTTGAGTAGATACCTGATTATTTGACGTTTGACCATGCATCCTTTGAGGTCTGGAGTTAAGGTCAATCAACTCATTCTCCACTTTTACGCTATTATTCACGTTATTTTCTACTGCTGTCATAGCAGTCTCCCTGTTTGGTTGGTGATTGTCTATCATAGGGAGTTTAAAGGGCTGTGCAGTCTCCCTCCTTACATCACCTTGTTCAGTAGATGGCAATCCTTGCTCATTTGAAGGGCCCAATTTATCCCCCGGAAACTACAGAAGGACATAAAAGAAGAAATAAAATAGACTCTTCCCTAAACGCAAGAAGAACTTGAAGCAGGGCTTGTCTTAGCATGAATTTACAAACCTCAATCCTCTGCCTTATAAGGAGATATCTTCCATGGGTTCGTTTACCTCCAACATGGACAATCATATCACATTGCAAACAAAGGGAACTTCCATCGATCTCACAATAAAAGAAAGCTACATACATGTATCCAGCAAAGAAGCAAAAACTTCATATAATGTAGCCATCTTGGCCAAAAGAAACAGGATGAGGAAAGAGAAGAAATGAAGCTACATACCAGGTGCATTTTCGCATATGTCGCAACGCTGGATTTTACTGGGGTCAGCTAGCCCAACTCTTACATGTCGACTTGCAAGCTTGTTGCACAAATGTACCTAATATCAGATATTAAGGACCGTGAATTTCTTCAGTAGAAAACAGATGAATTAAAACTTGTGAGTCACAAAAGTGAATACCAACCAAATGTGACAGAACATATGGACCTAATATCAGATATAACAAGGACCGTGAATTTCTTTCAGTAGAAAGCAGATGAATTAAAATTTGTGTCACAAAAGTGAACAAGCAGATCCCAAACAAATGTGACAGAACATATGGACCTAATATCAGATATATCAAGGACCGTGAATTTCTTTCAGTAGAAAATAGATGAATTAAAACTAGTGAGTTACAATTGTGAAGAAGCAGGTACTAACCAAATGTGACAGAAGATTATATTTTACCAAATTAATTCCTTACAAGTGAATGTTCTTCTATCCTGCAACATGTATATCATTTTTGTGTTCTCAAACACTAGTAGTTCCTTGGAAGATCAGACAAGGGAAGTAAATATAGGTGAGACGAGGCGTGAATGAGCAAATGCTGGATATGGAGAAGTTTCCAACACGCATCAGAATATATAAGCCTAACTAGATAAAGGTGTTATGAAGAGAATAATTCCAAAGAAAGCCTTAATAGTCCATTAGCACCCAAGGGTGTGGTTTAGCGGTCAATGAAAACCATCAGAAACCACAGTTAAAATCATAGAGACAACAGAATCTAATGATTTCTTCTCACCTTGCCTAAGCTTTGGGGAGGAGAGTAATGTTACCTATATTGGTGGGAGATAGGAGGTACTTAGTGGAATAATCGAGTGAGGAGATGGGCTGGACGTCACCTTTATCAAACAAAAATAAGGCATCTAGTCCATTCAGGTTGATCAAGAGTGTGGATGTGGAATTTCAGAAGGTGCAGTACCAAAAGGGATTGCATTGAATTATATACTCTAGAAGAGAAGGCATAGTATAAGTAGTAAGTACAAAGAAAGAAACATAGACCACCATATGCACTACATCAGTGGAAGATGTAAAGTATCTAAAAATCCTAGATCCCTCTCTGCACAACAAAGTGGAAACCAACATAATGGACCTCAAAGAAGATAATTTCATCCCTTTAGTTAGATAGTTTGTATACAACAAACAACAACATACCCAATGAAATCCCACAACTAGGGTCACAGGAGTACAGCGAGTATCCAGATCTTGTTGCTAACTTGTGGAGGTAGAGAAACTGTATTTGAAAGACCCCAGCTCAAGTGCAGCAAATCAAGTAGTTATGGAGAGAAATGGCAGTAATGAAAATACGGCAATTAATAAGGAAAACAGTACAGAACATCCTGACAAGGAACAATAACAACAACAAATCAATGCTATAGCC